GTCACAGTATAGGGAGAGCAATTAGGGTCACATAACAATGTATGTATAAATTTTTGTATGAGAGACTAACTTGAATTGTAAACTTTCACTTAAACTACAACAATAAAAAATAAATAAAGACAGGATAGCCACATAAGAGAGCAAACGGGCTGCTTCAGCCCGTAAGGGAGTCTTGATGGTTGAGTATACTCTGAGGATGTGATGGTACACTCTGGATGAGTGTGTCCCTAGATACCCTCATCCCAGTTTTCAGGATGACACTCTTTCCAAAGAATGCCCAAATTTTTATATCAGAGACCAGGCAAAACTGACTTCAGTGATGTTACAATTAAAAAATCTTTTTGTCAAAAAAAAAAAAAAAATTGGCTGTCTTAACCAGTATGGTACCCTGTGTTGATTAAGAGTAACCTATAATTATGTTTGTATAATTATACTTGAATTTGATGGTTTCATGGGCATTTACAAAAAATTCATATCCTCATCAAGGACTTTTCTTTCCAGTTTTACCCCGAAGTACGCAATAAAATGTATAATACCCAGTGTGCCTATTTTGGAAGACCAAATGGATCCACACAGTAGTTTAAAGAAGTAAAAACAAGAAGCCCCTGCTAAGGGAGCCTTTGTTTTGTGTTATGTGTTGACATTACACCGCACTCTGTGGAATTTGCTGATGGGCATGACCACTGCCACTTAAATGGATTCCCTAATCGTGATACTAATACCTGGGATTAGCCTGGCACAATGGGTGCATGCTTTCCCCAGGCCTAACAAAAGCCTTCTCTAGGGATCCAGGCTTTCCTGGTAACGAGAAGCTAGCTAACAAGCCTAACTAACAAGACTGCTGTATGCTGCATAGTTAAGTAGCCATCCTCATTGGGAAATGAAGGACATATAGGAAAAGACGAAGGGGGCTCCGGCCAAACAGAGGAAAATCATCCTGTGATGAGCATCCTGCACTGTGAACGAGTGCAGTCTTCCAGAATGATGGGGAAATGCGTGTTTCTGTTCATTGAATATTTAAGTGATTGAGCGCTAAGGGATTATGGGGAAAATTCATCAGTTATTTTTAAATTAAAGAAGTCTTGTTTGCCTCTCGGCAGCCTGTTACTTATAATTTAAACACGTTGTATTCCTAAAACAAAATACACTCATTGTAAACATCCCAAACAATCTGATCCAGAACTTTCTGGGAGGGAAGAGATTGAGATCACACTAACCCCAGTCTCAAGATTCCTAGTAATATATAAGAACCCATAGGGGTTACTGGCGACCCTGAAGGAGGGAAGGACAACAAGGCCCCACAGTAAAATGACCAAGAGAGGAGGAAGAGGTGGCCCCTCTATTGACAGGGGAGAAACAAAAGGGAATGGTAGTGCTGGTGCTGTGAGGTAGCTGGTGGTGAAACCCGACTCAACCTCGCCTTTCTGGGGACTGTGTTTGAGTCCTGGAGAGGTAGATATGTGGGTGACTCTAAAAGTTGAAAACTGGGAGCCTAGGTTAGGCTCCCTCAAAAGACTGCAGTGACCACAGTAGGAAACCAAGATCCAGTGATAGTCCAGGAGAGCAGGAGGTTTAGCCCTGGCTTCTCGGCGCCACAGCCGCAGAGCTGGGGAGCAACTGGCCCCTTGAGACGAGCCTGGGTTCCCTTGACTCATGCTCCATAAATGCTGGGGCTGCAGGTGCCTGAGCTTTCCATTTCTGCTTCAGTTTCTCCTGCACCTCTCCCGGCAGCTGAGGCAGCAGTTCTGACTGTCAGACCAGCAAGAGAGGAGCAAGCGAGCATAGAGGGGAAGGGGCCACTGCCTAGAAACGGACACTGGTCTGGGCATGGGGGCATGTAATATCCCCGCTTTCACATGCTCATTACGGTATATTCCCCAGAAGATAAAGCCACTACCACATTTTAGATGAATGGAGCAGATTAACACTCCAAAGAAGCTGTGTTTAATAGTGCATCGAAAGAGCCCAGTCAGGAAACAATTATCACTGGAACTTCCTTGGAAAATGTGGTCTTTTATTTGTCAGGATGTCTCGCAGCTTTCTTTTGGGATTCTGTTTTTCAGAATAAGGTTGACACACATCCACACGCATAAAGTTACTTCAGTCTGGGAACCCACTTTGTCAGAGCAATGCCTCCAGCAAGTGCAAAGTGGAAGGATGAAGCAGGAAAGGGAAGAGTGAGAGTGGCTGTGGTTTTTCTGTGCCCAGTCACCCAGGACTGTTTCACATCGCCACACCTTTGCACAGGGTGGTACCTCTCCCTGGAACACCATTGCCCTCCACCCCCTTCTCCCATGGCTACCTGTGGTTCATCTTTCAAAACCATCTAGGCGTCATTTCCTGTGTGAAGTATATTCTGATCACTCCAGACTCAGATGCCCCCTCTGTGTTCCCATAACACCTGGATTCCAATATCTTTACTCATACCATGCCTTATTTGACCTTATTCCTGTATGCTCTGTGTTTCCTACTAGACTCTAGGTCCCATGGGGGCAGCTGGGACCAGTCTGCCTAAGTCTGATCCCAGGTCTGCCATTTCCTAGCTGTGTGACTTGACAAGTTACTTAAACTCTCTGTTTGCTCATCTGTAAAATGGGAACAATAATTCCTGCCTTATTGGGTTGTTTCGAGGATTAAAATTCATAATGCACTTAAACAATGTCAGGAAACACAGTAAGTATGCTCCATAAACGTGAGCTATAATAATAATTAAATAATAATAAAAACAATAATAAAATAATAATTATTACAATTCTTATTGTCTCTCCACTGCTAAAGGCTAGCACAAAGCCCAGTATGCAGTATGCACTCTGTCAATAGGTGTTAAACCGAACCATGACTAATCCATTAGCTGTGAGTCATCCAGAACTGTGCTGACCGAGGCCGTAGCCGCCAGCTGCGTATGGCTCTTGAGCACTCAAATGCAGCTTGTCCAGATTGAGATGTGCAGTAAGTGTAAACTACACACCAGACTTCCAAGACTTAAGGTGGAAAAAAAGAAAGTAAAAGATCACATTAATAATTCTTTATATTGATTACACGTTGACATGTTCATATTTTGGATATATTAGGTAAAATGAAATATATTCTTAAAAATAATTCCACCTGTTTCTTTTTACTTTTGTAAATGAGACTGCAAGGAAATTTAAAATTACATACGTGGCTACGTTATATTTCTGTCAGCACAGATCTAGAATGTTCTTGACCTACGGTTAATATTGCAAATCTTCCCACAACCTCATTAACACGCAGATATTACGTGGGCTCTAGGGGGTGTCGGCGACTCACGTAGAACAATGATTCACGTAGGATCAAAAGTTAATCAAATTGGTCTGTAAAGAATGTTCCACGCAGGGTTAATGGGCTATTGTGCAGTAAGCATGTAGAAAAGGAACTGAAGCTTTATGGACGTTTTCCAGGTTCGCTGCGATCCTGAGATTCAGGAATTGCGTCAGTGGCAGAAGAAACTGCGTGAGGACAAGCACATTCGCCAGCGAGTCAAAATTTTCTGGGCCAAACAAGAACGAAAAGGTCAGTTGCTTGATTTACAGTCCTTAGTTGATTCAGGAAAAGCCCAATTCTTATCCTAGCCTCAAGAAAGAAGCCCTCTGAGTTTTTACAGGTCCTCCTGAGTGCGTGGAATTCCGTTTGTCTGTGGTAGAAGCAGCTGAATGTCAAAATTCAGCTCTGGGATGACAGAGGTGATGTGATACAATTCACATGGCCATTTCCCTTACTCAAGGACAAATTCACTGTCAGCCTCTGTCTGTAGGTCTCTTTTTTTTTTCTTGTTTACACTGTTTTTTTTTAAAATTGTACTTTAGATGAAGGTTTACAGAACAAATAGTTTCTCATTAAACAGTACACATATTGTTTTATAATAATGGTTAACAAGCCCATGACATGTCAACACTGTCCCTTCTCAACCTTGGGTTCCCTATTACCAGCTTTCCTGTCCCCTCCTGCCTCTGCCTTCTAGTCCTTGTCCCCGGACTGTTGTGCCCCATTAGTCTGGTTTTGTTTTATGGGCCTGTCTAATCTTTGGCTGAAGGGTAAACCTCGGGAGTGACTTCATTACTGAGCTAAAAGGGTGTCCGGGGGTCATACTCTCAGGGTTTCTCCAGTCTCTGTCAGGCCAGTAAGTCTGGTCTTTTTTTGTGAGTTAGAATTTTGT